TCAAGTTGGTGAAGCATTTTAATATAGTTGCAATGAGCATTTTAATATATGAGAAGAGAATAAAAGAAGAAGAATGAATGGTATCTTTTGAAAAACAAAGAAATTAGACAACTTATATACTTTCTTTATATTTCATTTTTACTTAAAAAAACACATATATCAAAAGAAGGAATGGTGGCTTAGTTGGTAAAGGGTTTGCTTCTTCTCACTTTGTTGACCAGATTTCAATTTTTTGAAGAAGTAATACCTTTAATTGAATTGTGAAAGGATGTCTTAAGATACAAGTAAGTCGGCTTGGGATTACTTGACAATTAACCAATCCCCCCTCCCTTCAACCAAAAAAAAGCATGTATCCAGCCTTCTAGTCTCCTAGACTAATTGGATAAAGCCTTAAGGGTGCATCTTCCAAACATCACTTCCGTAAGACAATGTTGAAGGGCTTAATCTTAAGACTATTGAAATTTAAGGGCTAAAAGTTTCCTTTTCCAAAACCTGTTCCTGCTTGGTCGTGGCGGTTAGGCAAAACGGTGCGTTTGAACTCATTTATTAAAACCCTCCCCTCCTCCCTCATTTCCCTCTGTTTTCCGTCTCTGCGAATTCTTCCACAATCAGGATGCAGGTGAGTCTCTCGAATCAAAACCCTAATTTCGATTCACAATTTCTTAAATTCTAGATTGATTCATTCTTTTAACCATGTAATTATGCAGGCAAGTGATAGGTTTAACATCAATTCCCAGCTTGAGCATCTTCAAGCTAAGTATGTCGGAACCGGCCACGCCGATTTGAATCGATTGTGAGTTGCGCCATTCTTCACTGATCCTTTAATAATATAATTTGTGGAAATTTTCTTTATTAGGTGTCGGTTGGTTCTGTAGTTAAAGTTGATTTTTGCAGTGAGTGGGCAGTGAACATTCAACGGGATAGCTACGCGTCGTATACTGGGCATTACCCGTTATTGGCTTTCTTTTCTGTAGCTGAGAATGAATCCATTGGAAGGGAACGCTACAATTTCATGCAGGTTCGCTCTATTTTCTTTAGTTTGTGTGAGATTGTTTCCCCTTTGTTGCTCTTGGCATTAACCTGTTTTTATTCTAGATTTACTCTGACATGAAGTTTAACTAATTTGTGGTTGGACCCCTGTTTTTCTTGCGTTTTCTTTGGTGTTTTTGCCTTTAAGCTCTTGATTTTGGGTTATAATTATGTATGGAGTTTAGTTTGTATAGGGGAAAATGGACTGGATAGTTTAGTATTATATGAAAAAGAATTATACTTATGGGGAAGATTGCAAGTGATTGAAATGGGTTTGATAAAGTTTGAGTCAAGGACTCAAGGCTATTTGTTTGGGATGTATTGGGGAAGGTTGCAAAATTTTCAAACAGTAGCCAAATTTCTACTTTCACATGTTTTTCTTCCTAAGGAAAATTATGCAGTAAATATTGCATGTGTGTAACATGTTAGTGTTATGCATTCAGTGAAGGCTTGTCTAAACTTTGGGTTAGCCTATGGTCAATGTCATGGTCTCTGAAACTGTGGACAAAGATGACTAACCCATCTTGTCTGTAACATATTTCTTTCTTGCCATATTTATTAATTTGATAACGCTCCCTCTTCTACTGCTTTCATTTGCACCCCCAACTGACATCAGAGTAGGATTATTTATGTTGCAGAACTAAACCAAAATTTAGTGGCTACCAACAGTGAATCAATTTTGAAACTTGGGATGAGGGCATTGAAACCAATAGTAGTATCCTATTTTATAAATCCTTCATGAAACTGACAACAAGGTGATTGATGCTTTTGTTTTAACCTTATTGGTTAGTCAAGGCTCCAAGGGGCGTGTGTTGGATTGTTTATAGGCTTCCTGTTTTGGATGGCATAAATGTTTCTTTACCATTTGGCTTTTCCCTCTTGTTGATATCATAACCAATTCTCTTTTTACTCACAGAAAATGCTGTTGCCTTGTGGTCTGCCTCCTGAAAGAGAAGATGACAGTTGAGCAAAAGTTGAGCAATGCTCTGAATGCCTAGCTCCAGGACTCTTTGATTCTTGAGTCTTTCCAAATTACAACTACCCATGGATTTGTTTTAAGTACAAACTTATGTACTCTTATAAACTCTGAATGATTCTGATGAAAAATGACTAGCTACATTTTAGTCTGATTGACATGTCCTAGTGTAGTTTTATGTTAGATGCAAATTACTTGAGGCTTGGAAATTTAGAGCATATTCACTTCTTCAGTATGCTAGTCTTTTATTTGTTAAATTGAGCGTGCTAGTTTGGTGCTTGTATTCTTGTTGCAATTAAAAGACTTCTCCCCAGGTGTTGAGTCTCCACATCAAAGCTGTCCCTCTTCTCTCGCAGTTCTTTTTCTGTTGTCCTAGGTTCTTTTTCCAGTATTGCTTATTGATTCTGATCTGATTTCATTGGTGAAGCATTTCAATTTCCTTTTAAGAAGACTGAAACAATTTGATCAATAGTCACAATGACAAATGAAAATTGTGTCATGGAGACATGACATGAGGAATGTGTTAGGTGATATCCGCGGCCAATAGAAACCTCTTCGTAGTTATGCACCTTATCATGACGTCTCAAATAGACACCTTTTCAAAGGGTTCACTTCTAATAATGACCCATGAACATGAAATACAAATATTTACATGAAACAGGAAAGGACTCGCGCCCCACTAGGCCAGCACTTCATGGGGCAATTTCCTGGTTTCTCTAGTAACCATTTTTAGAATATCTCTTGAAAACTCCCAGACTATATTCCATTTTCCTCAGTTTGTGCTAAACTCAGCTCTGTTTTACATTGCTACCAATAACAGACCCTACAATCTTTCATCCTCATATCTTAATCATGAATCTCTACTAAGCTCACAACCCACAATGTTCTTTGAGCAGGACCCATCTTCAAAATCTTTTCAAGCAAATGTCTTCCACACAAACCCATCTCAGAACCCTTCTGAAACGCCTCCAAAACATCAAAACTGAGTCTCAAGCGAGGCAGCTCCATGCCCAAATCCTCAAAATCCATCCCCGCTCTCGGTCTGATGATATCTCCACCATTTTATCTCTGTACACAAACTTCAATCTTTTACCAGACTCGATTTTCCTCTTCAAATCCCTCCGGTCACCCTCAGTTCTTGCTTGGAAATCCATCATCAGATGCTACACCAAAAGTGGCTTTTTTTTGGAATCATTGACTTCTTTTATTCAAATGCGTGCTTCTGGTCGATGCCCAGATGAGAACGTGTTCCCTTCTGTGCTAAAGTCGTGTGTATTTTTGAGGGACTTGAGGTTGGGTGAGTCCGTTCATGGTTGCATTATTAGGCTCGGTATGGACTTTGATTTGTATACTGGGAACGCCCTTATGAATATGTACTCAAAGCTTCAGATTTTAGGTGCAAGTAGAGGGCAGAGAGGTTGTGCATCGAAGATGTTTGACGAAATGGCTCAAAGAAGGCAAAATGGTGATTTTACGGGTAGTTTTGTTAGCAGAAACATTAATGCCTCTGGTTCGTCTAAGGACCTTGACAATGAGAATTTCAGCGTTGATCAGAATGTCAATCTGAGCAAACTCGGTGATAGTTTATCTCGAATGGATGTAAACAAGAAAATTGATCATTCCTCTGGTAGAAGAAATGTTGTTTCAAATGGGGAGAGAGACGAAAGAATTTCTCCATTGGATGCGGTAAGTAAGGTTTTTGAGATGATGCCAGAAAAGGATATTGTTTCCTGGAATACCGTAATTGCTGGGAATGCGCAAAATGGTTTGTATGAACAAGCTTTGCAGATGGTTAGAAAAATGGGGAATGATGGCTTAAAGCCTGATTCATATACTCTGTCCAGTGTCCTTCCCATATTTGCAGAGTATGTGGATGTCATTAAGGGAAAGGAGATTCATGGATATACTATTAGACATGGGTTTGATGCGGACTTATTCATTGGAAGTAGCTTAATTGACATGTATGCAAACTGTACTATGGTTGAAGATTCATGTCGTGTATTTAGCCTCTTACCCCAACGTGATGACATTTCATGGAATTCAGTTATTGCAGGGTGTGTGCAGAATGGTCTGTTTGATGAAGGCCTTAAGTTCTTCCGTGAGATGTTAAAAGCTAAAATAAAGCCTGTGTCTGTTTCGTTTTCTAGTGTCATGCCAGCTTGTGCTCACTTGACAACTCTGCATTTAGGAAAGCAACTCCATGGATACATAATTAGGGGTGGATTTGATGATAATGTGTTTATAGCCAGCTCCCTTGTTGACATGTATTCCAAATGTGGGAACATTAGGATAGCAAGATGGATTTTTGATCACATGCAGCAGCATGACATGGTGTCATGGACGGCCATTATCATGGGACATGCTTTGCATGGGCATGCTCGTGATGCCATTTCCTTATTCAAGCAGATGGAAATGCAAGGAGTCAAACCGAATTATGTTTCCTTCATAGCAGTGTTTACTGCTTGTAGTCATGCTGGATTCACAGATGAAGCTTGGAAATATTTCAAAATTATGACACAAAATTATGGCATTGCTCCAGGCTTAGAACACTATGCTGCTATGGCAGACCTTCTTGGGCGTGCAGGGAAACTGGAAGAAGCTTTTGAGTTTATCTCTAGCATGCATATTAGACCTACAGGCAGCATCTGGTCTACGTTACTGTCTGCTTGTAGAGTCCACAAGAACATTGAGTTGGCCGAGAAAGTTGCAAAGAAAATATTTGATGTTGATCCAGAAAACGTGGGAGCTCATGTTCTCATGTCAAATATATATGCGACTGCTCAGAGGTGGAAAGAGGCAGAAAAGATGAGAACCTCTATGAGGAAAAAAGGCATTATAAAGGCACCTGCTTGCAGCTGGATTGAGGTTAAAAACAAGGTTCATACTTTCATGTCAGGGGATAAATCTCATCCAAGCCATGATAGGATAAATGAATCTCTTAAAGATCTTCTGGAGCAGATGGAACAAGAAGGTTACGTTCCTGACACAAGTGAGGTCTACCGTGATATTGAGGAGGAGCAAAAGAAATACTTGTTATTTGGCCACAGTGAAAGATTGGCCATAGCTTTTGGTATCATTAGCACACCTACTGGGATGACAATCCGAGTAACTAAAAACATTCGGGTTTGTGTGGATTGCCACACAGCTATAAAGTTCATATCAAAGATTGTTCGAAGAGAGATAATTGTGAGGGATAACTCCAGATTCCACCATTTCAAAGATGGGAATTGCTCATGTGGAGATTATTGGTAAAAGGTTAGGCCAAAGTATTTTTAAATTAAGACCCTTTATTGTTTAGAAAGCAGGTGAAGGGTCTGGCTCTTACATGGAAGTATTGGTTAACAGGTCAGGTGATAGATTATTGGTAACAGGTCTGCACTTTGGAGAATGCTTGTAGAAGATTGTAACAATGATCCATCCACCAACTTCTACACATTTCACACATAAACAACGAAATTAGAATTGTATTTCTCTGTAAATGACAATGTGACTTTGAATGATTCATTTATTAAAAAAGAAGAGAAAAAGGAATGAAGGATGAGAAATATCTTTCTATTTCAACGTATCATAGTCCATGTACTGCATTTCTTTTTTCTAAAAACTCATGCAGCATGGTTTCTTGGAATAGCTTGCAGAGCACAGTATACAAATTTATTAATTTGCATTTTCAATGCAGGTTTTTCATCTTGAACCTAACCTGTATTCAATTACTTATTTCCTTTCGGCAGCATTAACTTGGACCTGTCACATTAATTAAAGCTTTAGTTATCTTTGTTTGACGAGTTGGTCCAATCTGAATCAAAATTAATTTAGCAAACTCTACATCTGGGTGTAGGCGTGTAGCCTGTTTCACATTATGTACCAAAATGGTAAACAAAAGGAAAAGGAAAAGGAAAATGATTTAGAGTCAATTTTTTATGTCTAAGTTCGTATACAATATTAAATATTATTTAATAATTAACTTTTTTTATTTTATTAGAATTGTGTCTATTTATTTAAACACATATAAAAGTTATATATAAAATTTGTAAATAAAAAAGATAGTTATGTGCATATTGTTACCCTAAATAGAACAAAGACAAGAAATGGTGCCAGACGAGTCCACTCTGGACGACAAAATACCAATAGAAAAAAATTTGGGACAATTCAGTTACCGACCATTTATCTGCTTGTGAACTAATGAAAACAATACCGCATATTATTTGACATGAAAATATCCATCCACTGACAAAATCTGCCTTTGATTTTCATGCTAAATCAGTCTGTTTTGCCTGCTTTATAGACACCAAATGCAGAGTATCGTTTTTATTTTTAATTTTTTTTAAACAAAGGTAATTAAAGAGGAAAGGAGAAGGGAATGGACCCAACTTTTAAATTGATAAAAACACTTATAATTCGTAAGTTAATTGTAAATATTTAAATAATTGATATAATTTGAACTCACAATCAATTCAACTCAAATACTAACATTTTGAAATAAATTATTAGATTCAAAAGATTGAGTCAACTAATGTCTACTTATTATTTACGTTTTCCGTTGGAGAGTATCATAATTTTACTCTGATGGATAAGGAGAGACAAAAGTTTTCAGCAGATGTATACTTTAAAATGGTTAGGGGAAGATGCAGAGAAGGCAATATGTGAAAGCATTACACCAACCCCCGTATGCATACATTTCATTTTTTGGCATCTTATTATTATTTTTTTTTGAAATTCTCAGTCAAAAATATGTACCTTTAATTAGATTTTTCTTTTGATGGACAAAAGAGCACTAAACGAGGAAGCCCACATTTAATTCGCTCATCCCAACCATCACCTTAAAAATTCTTAAAATTTTCAAATTGGATCTAAATAAATTTAAAATTAAATCATGTTAGACCTAATAAAAAAAACTTAATATTTAGTTCTCCATTTATAAGATTTGAATTCAAATTTTTGTTTTAAAAAAAATCAAACTCCTTCTATACATATCAATATGTTATTGATGAAAAATTTTTAATTTTTAGCTTTTAGATTTTGTTTTTTTTTAAGTAAAAAAGAAATGATATTGATCTATGATTAAGAAAAATGAAAAATTGGATGACCAAATTGTGAGTGGACCAACCCTTAAAGTTTGAACTCTATACATTTTTTTTTTTTTAATTTTTTGAACAAGGGGGAATTTGTAAGGGAAAGGAAATAAGGTTTGGGATTTGAATTCAAATCATTATGTTCATTACACTCATTTAAAGGGGTGACCATTAGACCACTAAAAGTTAGACGTTTGAACTTTATACATTGAATGGATAGATTAAATGAATTATTATTATTATTATTATTTTATTATTTTGAATTATATATAAGAGATATCCTCACCTTATATATTTAAGACTTAATTTTAATTTTTTTTAAAATGTTTTTTCACATACGTTACTTAGATATTTACAATTTAAATTTAAAATTTTTTATTTTATTTAAAAAAAATTATAATTAGGCGGTTTAGGTGTTGCATTTAAGTTGGATATTATCTCCGAAAGCAAAGGGCCATCAAAAGGTCCTCTTCTACCATTATCTTATTGGATTAAAAAAGGAGAAAAGAACTGGTTATGGGGTGGTAGGGATCCAACTTACGCAATAAATTTAAGAATGAATTAAAATGATACCATAAGAAGTGTATTTTATGTACCAAAAAAAAAAAAATTGTATTTTGGGGTTTTGACATATCTTGAAAATGAGCACTAAAGCCGTCCTTTAATGCTCCAATACCTACATATTATCATCAAACCAACAAGACACATAGCCACATAGGCATATAGACTCGACCCCACACAAAATCACATTATATTATTAAATAATTAATTATTAATCTAATTTTTCTTGTTACATTGGTCAATCAACAGAAGAGACCGTCGGCCCTCCTTAATGATGACTTAAGTTATATTTAAAATTATTGTGAAATATTACTGTTGA